GAAAGTCAGCAGCAACTACAGGAAAGTCAGCAACAGTAGCAAGAAGAACAAGGAGAGAGAGTACAGCATCAGCATGAGGTACAAATGGAAACATTAGTAAATTTCAAAGTGAATTAAATACATTAAAGGACGATCTACTGTCTTCTACACAGAAGGATATATTAACCATGAACCTAATCAGCCCCAGACAACAGGAAGCCCCTTCCAGATCTTGCAGCTAAACCATAATGCAGACATCTTCAGTCCTGCCAGAAGTAACATTCTAGACATGAGCGTCAACAATAGGGGGTGATCTAGTACGAAGGATGCCACAGGAATTCGATGGTAAGGCACCATGGGAAGCCTATAGAGCACAATTTGAGCTCCTGGCAGAAATGAATGGATGAACAAAGGAGCGGAAAGCAGTGTACCTGGCAACAAGCCTGAAGGAACAACCACTTGGACAGTTATCTGCAGACGACAGACACGACTATATAGCACTAGTAGCTGCTCTAGAAATCAGGCATGGAACTCAAAATCAGTCTGAAGTCTACAGGGCTAGGTTTAGGACTAGAGTCTACTCTAAAGAGGAGAGCCTGCAAGAGCTGGCACAAGATATGGAAAGTATGCCACACAAGGCCTACCCAACTGCACCATCCAATACCCTCAAGCTGTTGCTGAGGGATCAGTTAGTAGACGCCTTGGACAGTCCACAACTGAAGATACAAGTAAAACAAGCACACCCCTCTACTATGCAGGATGCAATGGCCAGAGCTCTTGAATTCGAATCTTACATTAAGTCCAGCACAGAGGTACCAAGGTTGGTACAGTCATCAGGATTCAAGGCCAGAAAAGGGCAGCTTTCAGAGAAGTTTGAGGGACTTTGCTGGCACTGTAGTAAATCTGGGCTCAAGAGAGCTCAATGCTGGCAACTTCAACACAGGAATGATGCCACGGCAGGAAAGGCTGCTACCCAGAAAGGTTGTGGAACTGTGGAGAGCAAGGACATATGAAGAGTGAGTGTAAGAAGGATACTACCAATAAGTCAGCCTCGGGGAAACCAGTAGTGGTTGGTGTTGAGGGATGCCCACCAAACCCCATCGTGAAAGTCCCAACAGCTAAGTGTAAAATGGCAAGCACACATAGTGCCTACATGACAGAAAAGCCGGATGGCCAAAAGTGCAACTTTGCCATAGATTCAGCATCTCAGCAAACCCTTGTGAGTATCAAGGTACTGGATCACAAAGGAGTATCAGAAGCCATACGGAAACTCTTTGATGTGACAGGACATTATGGAAGGTTGTGGGGACCAGTGTGGGTAACTATTGAGCTCATGGGCACAAAGGACAGACACAAAGTATATTTGGCCGACATTGAAGATCCATGCATATTAGGGTTGGACTACTTACTACCAAGGAAGTGTGTAGTTAACTTTGATAAAATGACGTTTGTGAACAACAAAGGCCAAATTCCGGTAGGTGTTGCTGCATCTATTGATTTGCATGTCACAGCACTTAAGTCAACTACAATACCCCCTATGTCAGAGAAGATAATTTGGAGTAGAATAAAAGAACATCCGCAAGGAAGCACGATGCTTGTAGAACCAGTGGAAGCCCCATCCAGGCCAGCAGACGTGAAGATTGGATGGTCACTTGTGGCAGGTTATCAAGTAGTACCCATAACAGTGGCTAATGTCTCTAAATGTGAACAGACACTTAAAGAAGGGGCGTTGCTGGGTGTATGCCAGGAGGTAGAGCTAGGCAATGTTAAGGCAAGAAATACAAATACAAAATTATACAGACGTCTTTTCAAAACGAGATCATGACCTTGGCTGCACAGAATAAACACAGGCAATCACCGTCCAATAAAGATCCCTCCGATGATAGTAGTCCTGGAACAGCGACAAGAGATGGAGAAGGTCATGGATGGCCTAATTAAGGAAGGAATAGTCGAGAAATCATATAGTCTCTGGTCAGCTTCTGTCGTGTTAGTCCAGAAGAAGGACGGGACCCAAGGTTGCTGTGTGGACTTCAGGGCTCTTAACAGTATAACCAAAAAAGAATTCATAACCCACTGCCAAGAATTGATGATACTCTTGATGCCCTAAGTGGAGCCGGGTTTCCATCAAGTGAAAATGGACTGAAGCAGA